AGAAAATATTTTATATTGGGTTTGAAGTCCCGTAAATCAAGATATTGTGTATGTGGGGTGACAATACCTGAGATTGAATGATTTTGAGACTGCACTCCTGTTATTGTTTAAAGTTTTGTAAATGTGACAATTGATTAGAAAATTGGATGTCATTGTTATAATATATCAATTGTGTCCCTGAAGGACAACAGTGAAAAGAAATATGTGCACATAACATGCACCATGAATATAAATTGTTTTATGTTTATAATAATAATTCCATAAGGTGATTGTGTGTTAAGTTATGGTAATTATATTTGGAATTATTCTTGAAAAAGAATTTGAATTTCATTGAATAACTGCAACGATAAATAATGCAGTAAATACTAAGCATAGCTGAAAAACATATAAAATGGACGCTTGTGCCTAACTAAAACCTGGGTGACTACAATAAGTCTTGATGAAATTATTTATTTTGTAGAAGAACTATGCTTGAATATCATGGTGCAAATTATATTATGTAATTGAACAAGGTTTTTGCATCATGTCAAAATATCACTTGTAGTGAGTGCCTCCTGAAGAGGATCTAATGTGAACAATTTTCTTATTTGTTTTCACATGATTTAATGACTAGAATTTTAAATATAAAGTGAGCTATATTCGTACTACTTCTCAACCTTTCCTGTAGAAAGAGTTGAATGAAGAAAACATTATGCATGCAATGAATTTGCAATTGCTTAGAAACATTCTATTTGTTTACCTGAAGTAAACATATATTATTTTATGAACCAAATTGTATAAATAAAGGTGTTTGAAGCTTTTAATTAAACATCTATCAAAACCTAGCTAGAAACAACACATGAAAATCTTTTGATTTGAATGGTGTTTGATTATATAATAAATAAAATATCTAATCATTATATTGTGAACACCTGAAGTGTTTGTATACTAATTTGAGATCCTAGGAGAATCAAAACATGTCTCATTTGAGTTTTATGGACAAATATTTGAGAATACTCAATTATTAAATGTTTGATGTGCATATGAGCATTAACACCAAATTTGATGGTCTTGAAATACACATTGCAAAATCATGAGTTTAGACAATTGATTCTGCTTAAACTCTTGAAGAATTTGGTTACTAATGTCCATCAAATCTGTATAAATAATGATGGAGGTTTTGTATACTAAAGATTTTCATTAGCTCAGATTATATGGAGTTGATTGAGGTGAAACAATTAATTGGACCAAAAGACCAAATGCTATTCTTTTTTCTTAGTCAAGTTTTTTCCCAGAAGGGTTTTCTTGGCCAAAGGTTTTAAGATATTTTGAGGTTTTTAAAGAATGAAAAAGATTCATAACATCTGGAAGACTATTATCCTCTAGAAGAGTGATTCGAATATTAGTTCAGGAGATAGTACCCTGAAGGTCTTAATCGGTACTTGTGAGATCGAACAATTTATTGGTCCGGAAGACCATATACAACTGTACTCTTTTTCCTTAACCAAGTTTTGTCCCATAGGGTTTTCTTGGTCAAAGGTTTTAACGAGGCAGTTTGTCACTTTGAAATAACATATTATGATACACAAAATTCAGAGTATTATTTTTCTCTAAAAGAGTAAATTCAAATGCAATCCAGAAGATTAGGCCCCGAAGGCCAGTGACTGTACTCTTGTCCTTTACTAAGTTTTTCCCACATGGTTTTCTTAGTTAAAGGTTTTTAATGAGACAGTCAATACAACACATCGTTTTACATATATTTTGCATTCTTTTCCTTGATTGGTTTTTTCCCCAAAGGGTTTTTCCAACGAGGTTTTTAATGAGGCATACACATAGTACAAGTTTTGCTACAAGAAGTTGGTACCCAGGATGGATTGAGTTCTATAAGAAGACTTGGAGAGAAATCTTGAAGTGATGTAGTCAACAGGGGGAGTATAAACGTGCTGCACTCTTTTTTCCTTGACCAAGGTTTTGTCCCACTGGGTTTTCCTCGGCAAGGTTTTTAACGAGGCGGCACCACCAACACATATAAAGAGAATAATGTATATTTTTTTTGTAATGTATTTTATTTAGCAATGTACATCCAAGGGGGAGTGTTATGTAATATGTGGATGTCCATTACTTCTCGGTCCATATGTATATTTAGGGTTAAGCCCATTAACTAGCGTAGCCCTGATTCCCCCTGTATATATGTGTGTGTTATGTGCTAATGAAGAGATGACCCTGACTCCGTTTATAACAAATATCACCTTTAATCACTCATATATTCTTATATGAAGAAAAAGTATATTTCAACATAAGTTTCATAGTTAATTCCACTATCAAGTCAACATATTCACAACACATGATCATACACAATTTACTCTTAAATTTGTATATCATGCTCTTTTTTCTTATAGAAAATAGTCTTCTCATTCTTAGGCATTATTAATCATGAATAATCCAAAGAAAAACACATTTAATCACCTTAGGTAATCTCATGAAATTAACTCACTAATTATAAGCAATATAGTCAGTCATCCTCATCTCGAATGAGCTTTAAGAAGTTTTACCTTTCCTCCCCTTCCCTCTGAAATCCTCCAACCAAACAGGGTCTAAAAGAAAGAATCTATGTACTATGATTATGACCAACCCCAGAAAGCAAAAAAAAATAAGCAAAGAGAATAGAAATATAGTCAGATAAAATCAGAAGCAATTCTTCAATTACAACAGGAAACGAAAAATCAATAGTTTATCCATTTAATTTAGCATCAAATTGCAATACACAGTAGTTGATAATCAAATGAAAACGAGAGTTAAAATACACGATTTGAGTTTTTAAGAAGATGGAGAGATATCCTCCCCAATGTTCTTCTGATGTGAAAGACAAGTTTATTCTTCGGAGATTCAACGGAGATATTTTTATGGTCATTTTTTGAAGAAGTGCAATTTTGAGATTAGAAGATATATTTTGGATTACATCCTTTGATTCCCTTCGTATTTGCTGAGTCACGCTGTTCATCAGACTTGCTGAAATTAGACAGAGCATGAGACGGTGTCGACTCTTTGCGCTTCCAACTCAGCACCGTGAGAAAAATAGAGTGTTCCATTGGAGACCCAATTTTTACCCAGATGTCTATTTTAAGTACGTGGCAATGCATTTTTAGCTAATTCACATTGCCACTAAAAATGCTCTTAGTCAAACTTCTAACAAGTTTTTATCATCACAAAACTCATGCTAACACAAATAACCTCTAAAAGGTTATTTTCCGGCGAACCGGTCATTTTGGCTTCTAAGTCCGTTCTTGGACTTAGAACCACCTTCCAACCCCTCATTCTACACTTCTAAATGTGTAGGACAGTTCTAGGGGTCCTCCATATGATACATAAGTCATATGATAGATAAAAAGTAGAGGAAAAGTTATTATAAGGTTATTACCTTGATTCTTCACACTTTTCCTAACTTTTTCATTATTTAATCTTCCTCCTTGGACCTCTAAAGCTTGAGCTCGAATTTGCAGCAATGGAGGAGGGGTTGAGAGCTTATTTTCTCTTTCTTGGTGGCCTTGGTCGAGCTCTATGGTTGGAGGGAGGAGGGGATGACATCTTTTGTCTCTTTTGGCAAATGAGTGAAGGAAAATGTGTCCTCCTTGTACTTTTGATGCTCATCACCTCACTCCACCTCACCTCTAAGTCAAACCAGCCCCCCATCACATTAATTTGAGCACACAAAAACGTGGGGTGGTCCCCACTCATGTGGGAGGTCATCCCTTTGTGTCCCGATTTGTACAATCGGTCTCAAAAGTTGTATTTCTCGGACTGTTTTAATTATATTTTATTTTATCGGGCCAAATAAAATATATCACACGTTTTCAATCATTATAGGCCTTTAGAATAGATGTACATTCCCCAACTTTAATTTAAAAGTCTCCGAAATTCATTTCAGGCTGTTATCCGATAAATTACCAATACCGGTAATTGAGCCTTGTTTGACCAACGGGTCAACTCTATGCCTTTTCTATGGTCTAACTAAAATATCCACCACCATATACACATTATCTAGACCAAGATGAACAAAATACTTGGTTCTGGAATTATCGGGTGGTCCCCGTTCCTGGTGTGGGCCCCATGTGCAATTTACTATTCACGTAAAAGAAATAATAAAAATTTACAACTTCGCAAATTCATAATTCATTATTCAAGGTTTATTACACAATTTACTAAAAGTAAATATGCTTGGGGTCAGTGTTACAATTGCAATATGTGGTGACCACATATTGGAGGCAAAGGTTTTGACGGGAAGAAGTATGGGGCAACAAGTATTGATTCTGAGATTGACATTGACTCCTTCGAATGTGAGACTTTCTTTTAAATTTCAAAGAAGTCAATTCCCGATCATGATTACTTATGCTATGACTATAAATAAAAATCAAGGGCAATTTTTTTCGCATGTTGGTTTATTGTTAAAGAAGCCGGGTTTTTTGTCATGGACAGTTGTATGTAGCAGTTTCCAGAGTTAGTCCAAAAGGATTGAAGATTTTAATCATATGTGATAATAATGAAAGCACAAACAAGACCACTAATGTCGTATATAAAGAAGTATTTTAGGATGTATGATTTGTATACATACTTAATTGTGATTATCACAAAAAAATGTTGTTATAATGTTTTGTTAAGTGTTAGAATGAGATCTTATTTTATTATCGTGACATTTTTCCCTACTCTTCTTCACTATTTTTGCGTGCATATTAATATAATTATACTATAATTATATTTTGATTTTTTTTATCGTTATCCGAAAAAATTGTTTATTTGTATTATATGAAAAATTGTGTGTTACACACACTTATACAAAATTCCCCCATGCAACGCACGAGTGGAATACTAATTTGATTTATAAAGTAAAAGATTAAAAATGATTTAAGTTGACTATGTGAATAATGGATGAGAACCTTCTAATGGGACGGCAATAGTAGTATATATGCATAGGTTTTGTAACCAGCCTAACTCAAAATTAATTCTCAACCCAACCCAAAAATAATTCCTAGCCCATCCCAAAATTAATTCCACAGCTCATCCCAACTGACTTATAACTTACCTGCGCTCCAATTGGCCGAACGCGAAGAAGAACAGAAGAAAGAAAATCGAAGAACCAAGAGCTTGGCAGCTTGCGACGACCTGCGCTCCAACCTGTGAGCTGCGACCCTCCGCCGTCCACGCCGCACGTCCAGGCGACCAGGCCGCTGCGTCTTCGGCCGTTCCGACTCCAGCGTCCTTCCTCTCGCGGCTCTTCCTCCAGCTCTGGCGCAGGTGAGTTTTGTTTTTAAATTTTTTACTGTATTATTCTGTGATTGTGTTAAGACTGTTAACTTGTATTATTATTTTTAGCCTTTAGAGTGTTAGGGTCATTCTGTTAGTTAATCAATTTAATTATTAGTTGAATTTGTCAGTGCATAATAAATTAGGGCAAAAATTCATTATAGATTTATAATGATTAAAGATAGAATTAAATCTTAGAGAATGATTTATTGATTATACAATTGAGGATTAGAGAATGATTTATTTATTGTGTAGACATGTAAGAAAAATTGAAAATTCCAATTGAATTTTGAAATCTTGAATACTTATTAGTTTTATGTACAACGATTGTTTTTTCTTATTAGTTTTCTAATTTTATAATTTTATAGAAGTATTTTAATTCATACCAATATAGATGTAGATTCTATTATTGATGAATTTTATACTTTGAAGTCGTGTAGGGCACAACTTCAGTGATGATGACTATTTAAAGTGTTTACGACATGACATATTATTGTGTACGTGTCTTTCAATTTTTTCCCCATTGTAACTTTCTGGATCTGCCCATACTCCGTAGTCCGTATATATACGGAGTATATCGTGATTTATCGTAATAATAATAGAATAAAAATGAACACACCTGCGCTGCTCCATCCATCCCCATCTATGCTGCTTTGTTCAACTCTCAATCTCTGGTGCGGCTTTATTGCTCTTTTGTAATACTTCTGTTTGTATCATCTTGTAATCTAACATCATTTTTTGAAGAGTGTAATCTAACATCATTATATCAATATAATCAATATATTATCCGAAGGAGACTTTGACCGTTTGAATTTGAGGTCTAACACCAAATACACGATTACATTTTTTCCCTTTAGACATATCATTATGTTATTAATAAGACAAAAATAAAAATATCTTATAAGTTTTTCTTTTTAATTTTATCTATTTATGAATTTATGATCTCTAACTTAGTATTTTTAAAAATTCTTGTACATTAGACTTCATTGTTTGTTGAATGTTAATTTCAATTTTTTCAATAGAATACTGATATTGATCTATTTAATTGGTAATAGTTCTCTAAATTTCAGTTGTTACTTTTGCGGTAAGCTTCTTATTTTTGTGGTAAAAGAAATATTCCTTAAAATAGATAATAATGTCGTTGCCAAATGGATATGTGTGTAAGGAAACTCCTGAAGAACAACTATAATGTGTTTTTCTATTCGATGTTTGATCAAATTTCGTGTAGAACTATATTGATGTGTTTGATTTTCTATTTGACTTTTTGTTGTCATTTGTTTTACTTATTATTTTTAAGTTTTGGCCAGATCTGCCCCTGTTCAGTGCAGCAGCTTTCCGCACATTTGTTGAACAATCACTATGGCTAGTGACCAGAGATCTGAAGGCCCAAGCACGGGTTCTGGTGCATATTCTGAATCGACTGTGAATATCAATATCAAAACCTTAGATTCCCAGAATCATTCCTTTGAAGTGGACACTAATGTAAGCGTATTCTACTTCATTAGTGTTTGAAAATCATGCATATTTTGGCTACCCAGTCAATATGAAAATAAGCTCACTATATACGAATGGTAATCTTAGAATAATATAAATGCCAGTCCAACTGTTATTTTGACTCATTGGTTGTGTTTCCATGGCTTCAGATGCAAGTTTCTGACTTAAAGGAAAAAGTAGCATCTCGAACTGGTGTCCCTGTTACCCAACAACGTCTTATTTACAGAGGGAAAGCTCTGATGGATGATCACCTTCTTTCAGAATATAGTATCCTACCAAACTGAAATTCTTGGATCCCGGTTACGGTGTTATAGGTCACAAGTTTGAGTCTTGGGAGCGGTCTCTTGTCAAAAGGACAAGAGAAGGTTTCCTCCTTATACACTAGGAGTGTAACCAGGAACAAGGGTTGGGTTCGGTCAGTATAAAGATTTTTTACACCTCCACCCTCTCTACCTTCGCCGGTGTTATACACCCTCGTGATGGGATCCTTCCCTGGACCCTCGCCTTGCAAGGATGTCAATGTGCACCAGCTTACCCGTTTTTAGAAATCACTCATATCTTGTATTATCTGTATTTCTGTTCGGCCAAAAAACCAATGCTATTGTAGTTGCCATGTTAGCTCAAATAGATGGTGGTTTGAAAGGATCTCCAATTTGACTCTAAACATTCATTAGGAAGATGGTGTGTCAAAAAACTAAATATGATTTTCAAGATGAATGCCTAATGCGGAACTCTAGAGGGTTGCTTCACAATGTTAATCAATAATTCAGTGATGAGTGATGACTAATAAACATCCTTAAAGATACTAAAACAATATATCTAAATATATGTTATATTAAAAAATCTTTAAGCCATCAAAGTTCTATTAAAATCCACATTTAGATTGCATAACACTTTTTTTATCTATTGTCTATGTTAAAATATGTATGTATGTATTCAACTTTGCTTTTCCCATTTGACCCAAAGTATTTTTCTTTAGCGGGTTGAGAGTTTGTTCCTTGTGAACGTAACCATTTAGGATGTTTTTTTGTTGGAATGGTATCGGTCCAACTTCCGAGACCAGACTTAAACAGACCTGAAGTTAACTTATTATCTTTGTAGTCCCTTGACAACTTTACTCCTATAGATATGGAGAATGGGGACACATTGCACTTAGTAAGAAGGCAACCTTCTCAATCACAATTTACACCTACTGCAAGCAATGCAGAAGCTACTCCAGGTAATGGTGCAAGAGGTAATAGAAAGGTTGATTTTCTATGCGTAGATCACTGCAAGAGATGTTATGTGTATTTTTTTTACCTATGTAGGGCAAGAGCCTACCACCGGTGCACCTCGCAGTCGTATTGGACACATTTCACATAGTGTAGTGCTTGGCACCTTTAATGTTGGTGACCAAGGGGAAGGCTTTGTTCCAGATCTAAATCGGGTTTGTTGAATTTTTTCAGCTTTGTTTTCTTTTTGCTTGTTTTAGGTGAGCTAACATGTATTACTTGTTGAGCCGTTGACAACAAGTTCTCTCTTTCCTTATAGGTTATCGGGGAAGCTCTAAGCTCTATTCGACTTGGAAGCCAGACTGGTGGCCACCATCCTGGCATGCAGGTCGGCTGTTTCCTAGCCATGTCTTAACTTGGTTACAGTTACATATACTTGTTGTCCTTGAAATATTGAATACTTGGAATATGGGATACATGGTGTGTGTGTGTGCGCGCGTGTGTGTGTGTTAAAATGCGCAAATGTCATATGCGAGCCGGAGCAGTCAAATCATCTACAAGCACAAACACTGCTAGAATCAAGGTTATAGAACCTTATATGGGTAATCAGGTTACGTACTTATGTGTAGCACATTTTTTCCTATATGTAGCCAAACTGTATGTTGCTTGGGTTGAAATGCAATTTATGTTGTGGATTGGGATGCACTATGTACCTGTAAATTATAGCCTTTTTGGGACTGGATTTTATGCAGCTAATGTGTTTTGTGAACAGGCCAGTGCTCCCATTGCTGCCTCACAAGGAAATGAAGCACAAGGTTTACCAAGGAATTATAGCTCTCAGAATCAGCCGCCTGTACAAGCGTTTCCTACCCAACCTCTATCTGAAGGGATTCAAATCCCTCTTGGAGCTGCAGTAGCAGTTCCATCACTGAATATGGTAGAAAGATTTCAACAACCATTGACATGTTTTTAATATGTTATTCTTTTCATTCAAAATTCCTAACATATTTTTTCTATATATTTTTGTTTACTTTAGCCCATTCCAGACTCTTTGCACACGCTGACAGAGTTTATGAACCGCATGGAGTCTGTTCTATCCCATTATGGTGATGGGATTTTCAGTTATTTCCTTTGGCACTTGTTTCTTAGCAGCTACCTGATTGGTCATTTATTTTCTTTTATACCCCAGCAAGTCAGCCAAACCAGTCAACTACCGAATCTTCTAGTGTGGCATTGCCTACAAACTCTCATGGTCAGTCAACTCCAGAGACACTGAGCATTGTTCTGCGGCATACAGAACATTTAGTTGGAAGACATGTTACATCTGCACTATCTGTATGTAACATTGAACCTAATATTGCAATAGTTTGAAGCTTAAATAGTGTATCTGTTTTTTGTGTCTGTTTGTCATCAAGTTAGACCTACAAGAATCACATGTGCTACATATTGCTTTCTGAAAAAAAAAAGTAAATTTATCCTTGTAGCTCCCATGAGTACTTGTGCTTTTCGCCTGCTGGACTTTCTGAATGACTCCTATGTTTCACTGTTAACAAAGTATCATTTGCTCCTTGGTGTGATCACATTTGAGTCTCTTCTCTTTTATGTTACTTATTTGAGGCTCTTCTCTTTTATGTCACTTATTTGAAGTGTTGAGATTTGTGCATGTTGGATTACCACACACACACACATATAGATAGTGTTTCATTAGATTTGGTACCTTCTATAGAAAATTATATGAATCAGTGGAGAGAGAGTTATTGAAATTGTGGAATGCTGCTTCGACTTATTGGATTGCCTGGTTGGGCTAAGCTGTTCTTTGCTGGCCACAGTCATTGGTAACGCGCTATTTAGCCTGGGACGTGAATGATAGGCAACTGGGATGAGTTCGTGTTGTTGGGCTCTGGAATGTTCTTTTGACGGAACTCCTTGTTCGCCCAAAGCTGCTACTGCCTTTTACTAGGTGTTGGTGGCTGATCGTGGGCTGAGGTTTTCCGTGTTGGACTGGGATGTTTTGCTGGACTTGGGGCTTTAATTAGCCCTCGGCCAGCAGGTCTTTTTGGTTTGTTTGTTATGTTACTTTTGATAGTGAACCGGGGGCCTGTCCCGTGCCACTAAAATCTCCCCTACCTCGTACCGAAAGGGGTGGGGGTGGGGGGTGGGATATGGTAGGTTTAGGTAAGGTTTCACTAGCTTTGACTTTTTGGTGTGCTTGTATTTTTTTGATTTTCAGGGGTATGCCTCGTTGGCTTTGTATTTTTTGGATGAGTTCAACATGTACATTTTACCCGTTATATGAATAAGTGGTCTTTATACTTGTATGCCAGTTTTCCTTCCATTAGCTTGTCTTCTGAGTACGTGCTTGTAATCTTTTGTAGCACATTGCAGGGCGTTTGGAGCAAGCGGGGAATTCAACTGATCTTACAATAAGAGGACAGTTACAGACAGAATCGGTTCAGTTAGGACTTGCAATGCAGCACTTGGGTGCTCAGTTCTTAGAGCTTGGAAGGACAATGTTGACATTGCGTATGGGACAGTCTCCTGTATGTGTTTTACAACTTTTTTGTTTGTATGGCCGTTTTGTTGTTTTTGTATTCGTCTACCAGATGATACATAACAACTTTTCTGGTGTTTTGTAGGCTGAATCTTCAGTCAATGCTGGTCCTTCTGTTTATATTTCTCCATCAGGGCCAAACCCAATTATGGTTCAGGTGTGGTGTTAGTTTGCTATAGTTATCTTCGTAGTACACTTTTCCACTTTTTGATTTCTCGCCATCTTTTGTTGCAGCCTTTTCCTCTTCAGACCTACTCTCTGTTTGGTGGCCCGGCATCTGGACAATCTAATCCTACAGGAGGCTTCATTCCTTTTGGAGTTGGCAGTGCAGCAAGGAATGTTAATATACACATACATACAGGTATGAACTTCAAAGAGTTTTATAACTTTTGGGGGTGGGGAGCGGCGGGCTGTTAACTCAGGAGGATGTGCCGCTGCTGCCGTTCATTTTTGAACTTTTATGGAATCATTTTGTGTAGTTGGTTCTAGACCAACCAATGGAGGTGGTGCTGAAGGTGACCTAGCCAGTGGGACCAGTAGTGGTGATTCTACGGCTCCACCAACAAGGAGTTCTTCTACTGGAGCATTTGTTTCACCAAGACCTAGTGTGTCTTTTTCTGGCGCTTCACAACATGGTACACTTTCTTTACTCTTAGACCTAGTTGGTAAAATGTGTATTACTTGAATAACTAAGGTATATAGGAGAATGATTTAAGTTGAGGCTTTGTTTATTTCTAGGAAAGTACTCCTTACATCCTAGAGAATGTAGTCTGGGTAATTCTACGTTGTATACCGGAAATTATATTGTCATAATAATTATCATTACCCCATTGCCGCAAAGGCTCCCACCTACGGTGGTGTAAGGGGGTTGGACGTACGCAACCTTACCCTTGTATTAAAGCACAAAGAGACGGTTTCCGGATAACCCATGGTGAAAATTGCGTCCAAAATTGCATGAACCGACCACTGCTTCATAACAAAGAAGCGCATACAATCTAGTGAACCATTATCCTTTATTCCATCATATTTTCAAGCCAAAAAAATAGTGAATCTTTGGCTCCATTGCAAATGATGGAAAACCCTGAAATTCTATTGTGAAAGGAAACATTTTTTCACTGATCCTTAGAACTTCTGTGGAGTCGGAAGCCATATTATCGGCAACAAGGTTGTTAGGATCGCGATCCAACTCATAGGATCGTACGAGTTCACGATTAGAAGAGGGGGGATCGAGTTAGATCGCGGCTAAGATCGCAAATCGGCCCGGGATCGGCTGATCGTCATGTAGAATCGTAACTCGTATGACTCGTCGATCTAAACGAGCTGCGACTTCACAGTTAAAAAAAATGGGAAACGGAGGGCACGATGAAATCTGGAATGACGAGTTTGAAAAAAAATCAAATATAGCGACTTACGGTGAACGGACGCCAAGCGATGAGTTTCAACATTAATCTTCCTGCTTCATCCACTATAAATCAGTCGTTGTTTTCTTCAGTCTTGACCTCTCGTCGTCCGCTCATCTTATTCTTCATCTCTATTCCGTCTCGTCCGCCTTTATTAAAATCTTTCGCTTCTTCTGTAGTCCACTTTACTAAAGCCACTTTAGGAAAGTGGTTATTAGTTATTTTGACTTTTGATAGCATAAGTATGGCAAATGGGTCAAGAGCAAACAAAATAGGTGTTGGGCAAAGGACCGATGTTGGTTGGGAACATGGTATATCCATGAGTGAACATAACAGAACAATCAAGTGCAAGTATTGTGAGAAAGTCTGTATTGGAGGTGTCTATCGTTTGAAGCATCATTTAGCTGGAACAAATAAAGACGTGGCACCATGTAAAAGTGTGACCGATGAAATCCGAAAAGAAATGATGGATATTGTATTTAACCTACAAAAAAATCAAATATAAAGGGATTTCAAGAAAAAAGAGACGATCATGAGAAAATAAAAAGAGTTGAACAGATGAATATCGTGCTAATATCTTCAAGAGAAGAGGGAGTACTCAAACAACCATGAATAATTTATTCAAGAACATACGTGAAGAAGCATGTGATGCAATTTCTTTATTGTTTACAAAAATGCTATCCCTTTTAATATTGCTCAGAGCCTCAAGTTTAAGAAAATGTTTGATCTCGTTGGTCAATATGGGCCCGAAACCAAACCTCCATCATATCATGAAATAAGGGTGAAGTATTTGAAGAAGCAAGTGGAGAAGATTAATCAAATAGTGGAGCACAAAGCTACATGGAGGAAGACTGGATGCACTATCATGGCGGATGGGATGCACTGTCATGGTAGATGGATGGGCTGATACGAGGAAGAGGACATACAAGGAAGAGGACACTGGTGAACTTCTTGGTGAATAGTCGTAAAGGTATTGTTTTTTTAAGATCCATTGATGCATCTGACATTTCTAAAGTTGTTGATAAAATTGAAATGATGTTGGATGATGTTGTTGAAGAGATTGGAGAGGAAAATGTTGTTCAAGTTGTAATAGATAATGCCTTAAATTATAAGGCTGCGGGAGATCTCTTGATGGCTAAGAGGAAGAATATGTATTGGACGTCATGCACAAGTCATTGTATCGATTTGATGTTGGAAGATTTTGAGAAGAAACTTCCACTCCATCAAGAGACAATTACTGCGGAAAAAAGATCACGACTTATATTTATTCTCTTCAATAGTCTTGTATGTTTATTGCATAAATTTACCAAAGGTGGCGATTTGACAAGACCCAACATAACTCGTTTTGCCACTTCATACTTGACATTGGGCTGTTTGCATGACAATAAGGGATCATTAATACGTATGGCTGCATCTGATGAGTGGAGATCTAGTCCATTTTCAAAGACTAGAGATGACAAGTCAGTGGAGGATTTAATATTCGATAAAGAGTTGGAAAAATATTTTGAATTGCATCTGATTAAAGTGTTACGTCTAGTGGATACCGATGAAAAGCTAGCCATGGGGTTCATTTACGAAGCAATGGACCACACAGAAGAGGATATTCAGAAAGCTTTCAAAGGTGTCTCAAGGAGGTAAATTACCAAGTGCTTTCTTAGTCTATAATTTACTTATAGAAAATTATGAATTTCTAACAACTATTTTTTATAGCTATATGCCGTTGTGGAATATCATTGATGAAAGGTGGGACAATCAATTGCATAGGCCACTTCATGCAGCAGGATATTATTTAAATCCCATGATGCATTATAGCCCTAATTTCAAAGTTGATTATGAAGTGAAAAAAGGGTTGTATGATTGCTTAGGAAGGTTTGTGGGAGATATTCAAGAAATTGGCAAGATTGATGCTCAAGTTGAGGACTTCAAAAGCAAAAAGGGTTTCTTTGGAAGTGCAATACCTACACCAAGGACTTAAAACCAAAACTCTAGCACAATGGTGGAAATCATATGGTGATGAGCATCCTGGAAGTTTGCCACTCGAGTGTTGAGTTTGACTTGTAGTTCATCCGGTTGTGAACGGAATTAGAGTGCTTTTCAAATGATCCACATGAAAAGAAGAAACTGCTTGAAGCAAAAGACGATGAATGACATGGTTTTTGTAATGGCTAATTCACGATTAAGCACAAACAAGCAGCAGGGGAAATGATAACAGTATTGATGAGCTTCCTTCTTATGATAATGATGATGACAATGACTTTGATGGTGATGATGTTCAGGAGGAGCACATACTTGATGTTGGGTAAATTGCTCAAACTAGTGGTGGTCGTTGTGCTACAACAAGTGATGATTTAATACTTCCTCCTATTGAATATGATGAAGATACCATGATACATGATTTTATATGAAGATTTTGTTTTGTTGTCAAATCTTTTGGACTTTTAGAGTTTATCATTGAATTTGTTATGTCAAATGTTTTGCAATTTATCATTGAACTTGTTATGTTAAGTATTTTATAGGGAAAAGGGTCAGATAGGGCCTCGAACTTACAAAAAAATGTCAAATAAGGCCATATATTGAAGGTTCTGTCCGGCCGACGCCATTTGGGGCGGTTCCCGGTGGAATTTTTCAATGAAACTTTTTGAGCATCTTATTCATTAGGTCTAGTTTACTCATACAATTTTCAGCTAAAACTTCAATCGGGAAGGCATTCAAATAAATTCTTGAAGATAAGTGCGCATTTAAAAACACAATTATCTTCAAGAATTTATTTGAATGCCTTCCCGATTGAAGTTTTAGCTTAAATTTGGTATGAGTAAACTAGACTTAATGAATAAGATGCTCACAAAATTAAATCAAAAAATTCCACCGGGAACTGCCCTAAATGGCGTCGGCCGGACAGAACCTCCTATATAAGGCCTTATTTGACATTTTTTTTGTAAGTTCAAGGCCCTATTTGACCCTTTTCTCTATTTTATATTATTGCCTTGAGTCTTGACATTATGTTATTATTATTCTTAATAACTTCTTACGACTCGAGTTATGATCCCCGAGTTACGATCTCCTACTAGGATCTCGAGTTTAGCCAAGGTTGTTAAGATCGCGATCTAACTCGCTGAATCGTACGATTTTACTCTTAGAAAGGGGAGGGTCGAGTTGGATCGCTGCTGGGATCGGAAAATGGCCTGGGATCGCCAAATCGACGAGTAGAAACGTAAATCGTACAAATTGTCGATCTAACCGAGCTGTGATTTCTCAGCTCGAAAAACGGGAATCAAATGGCGGGCGGAAGTCTTGAATGATGAGTTTAAAAAATTATTTAAACATCGGCAACTTACGATGAAGGAAGCCCAAGTGTCACCTGAAGCGTTAAGCGTCCAACGCTTCACTGCTTCGTCGGTTTTAAATAACTGTTCCTCGTCGTTTCTTCGTCTCTTCTCTGTTCTCGCTCTGTTCTCTCAGTCGTCCGCTTCTTTGATAGGTTTAGTTGTTCAGTTAGTCTCAGTTGTGATAGCAATAATAGGTCATGGGCTCATGTCAAATGGGTTATCTTTTTTTAAAATCGTCCCCTTCAAACGTTTTGCAATTTATTTTGAACTTGTTAAGTGTTTTATATTATTACTTTGAGTCTTGAGATTAGTTTATTATTATATTATTATTATATTAATATTAATTTGGTGTTTACATAGAAATTAAATTGTATATATGTTTGTGTATATTATATATATATATGTATATATTGCATTATAGGATCTTACGAACTGCTAGACCCCATCTGATCCGTGCTAGGATCTTGAGTTTAACAACCTTGCTCGGCAGCTTTTTATGTTTTCAAATTTCAACTTTGTGGGGGCAAACATGATGTTATTCAAACAACAACAACATCCGAGCCTCGGTCCCAAAATAGTTGGGGTCGGTTAACATAAATCGACACATGAAATTAGAGGTAAAAAGATAAAAAAGATAAAATGATTAGAAGCTAAAAAGATAAAGCGAGATAAAATTGATATAAAAGATAGGGAAAAGGGTGAGATAGGGTCTCGAACTTACAAAAAAATGTCAAATAAGGCCTTATATAGGAGGTTCTGTCCGCCTGACGCCATTTGGGGTGGTTCCCGGTAAACTTTTTTGATGAAATTTTGTGAGCATCTTATTCATTAAGTCTAGTTTACTCATACCAGATTTCAGGTAAAACTTCAATCGGGAAGGCATTCAAATAAATTCTTAAAGATAACTGC